AAAAAAAAAAAAAAAAAAAAAAAAAAATTTCCAGTTTCTCTTGCAGCTAGATGCAAACATATGACTAAGTTCCAATGGGATGTGAGAGAAAGTGAAGGTTGTAAATCAGAGTTGTCTCTAAAAGGGATACTTCTTCCACTTCTCTTCCCAACTTGCAGGTAGGGACGTGGGGTGGTAATCCAAGTGGGACTGATTAGAAGAAACCAGGTGTGTGTAGACCACCTTAAGGATCAGAGCCTTACCACCATCACCATCACCAAACCTACTGGGCAGCTAGGGATTTTTTTTTTTTTTTTTTTTTTTTGAGATGGGGTTTCACCATTTTGGCCAAGATGGTCTCCATCTCCTGACCTCGTGATCCGCCCACCTTGGCCTCCCAAAGTGCTGGGATTACAGGCGTGAGCCACTGCACCCAGCCTGAGCTTTTTTTTGGAAGAGAGGGTCTCACTCTGTCACCCAGACTGGAGTGCAGAGGCAGGATCACAGGTCACTGCTCCAACCTCCCAGCCTCAAGCGATCCTCCTACCTCAAGTCTCCTGAGTAGCTGGGACTACAGGAATGTACCACTGCACCCGACTAATTTTTTAATGTTTGGTAGAGTTGAGGTCTCACTTTGTCACCCAGGCTGGTCTCAAACTGCTGGGCTCAAGCAATCTGCCTGCCTGGGTCTCCCAAAGGCCCTGTAGTCTCAGCTACTCAGGAGACTACAGCAGGAGAATCACTGGAAACCGGGAGGCAGAGGTTGCAGTGAGCTGAGATCTTGCCACTGCACTCCAGCCTGGGTGACAGAACAAGACTCTGTCTTAAAAACAAACAAAAAAACCCACCTCAAACTCCTGCGCTCAAGCAATCCTCCTGCCTTGGTCTCCCAAAGTGCTGGGACTATAGGCATGAGCCACCGCACCCAACCATAGTTTGGTTTTTGTTTGTTTTTTTTGTGTGTTTTTTTTCCTTTTTTTTTTTTTTTTTTTTTTTTTTACACTTGATTTTTTTTTTTTTTTTTTCCAAGAGTTTCGCCCTTGCTACCCAGGCTGGAGTGTAAGGGCGTGATCTCGACTCACTACAACCTCCACCTCCCAGGTTCAAGCAATTCTTCTGCCTCAGCCTCCTGAGTAGCTGGGATTACAGGTGCCCACCACACCCAGCTCATTTTTGTATTTTTAGTAGAGACGGGGTTTCAACAGGTTGGCCAGGCTGGTCTTGAACTCCTGACCTCAGGTGATCCACTCGCCTTGGCCTCCCAAAATGCTGGGATTATAGATGTGAGCCACCACACTCGGCCCACACTTGAACTTTCAAATAAAAGAGAAGTATATTTCTATCTTGTCTCTGTTAAAGCAACCATATCAATATCCTAACAAATCAAAGCTACTTACAAGACCTCCAGCTTCATTTGAGGCCATCTCAGGGCCCCAGGCCTATTGTCTACCTAGCTTTTCTAATATTTGGAGTAATTACAACTTCTCATACTCCCCCATTCACTGAATCCCCAAGAGCTTCTCAAGAACAGGATGGATATCTTTTTATTTTTAAGAGGCTGCTCTCACTCTGTCGCCCAGGCTGAAGTACAGTAGCACGATCACGGCTCACTGCAGCCTTGAACTCCTGGGCACAGGCAATCCTCCTACCTATGTCACCCCAACAGCTAGGACTAAAAGTGCACAGCACTACAGCTGTCTCATTTTCTTGTAAACACAGTGTCTTGCTATGTTGCCCATGCTTGACTTGAACTTTTGGCCTCTAGTGATTCTCCCTGTCAGCTTCCTGAATCACTGGGATTAAAGGCATGAGCCATCGTTCCTGGGCTTTTTTTTTTTTTTTTTTAATGAGACAGGGTCTTGCTATGTTGCCTAGGCTGGTCTCCCACCTCAGCCTCCCAAGTAGCTGTGATCACAAGCACAAGCCACCACACCCAGCCCTCATACTTTCTTTTACTTTTGATGAATCCTCTGCACCTAGTCCAGTCTTGGCCACCTCGCAGATGCTCCATACATGCCTGTTGGCTGGCTCAATGCCCAGAGTGGAAGGGATGCAAGGGTTAAGGAGAGAGGCAGGCAATGCCTGTGTGGATGTGAGAAATCAATATAAATGATTTACATAGTATTTACACTGTCTATTAGGTCAGGTTATTCCATGTACATATAAAAAAAAAAAAAAACAAAGCAAAACAAAGTAGCTAACTCCATGAATCCTCTGTTGGGAGGACGCATTTTAATCCAAGGTAGGGGATGGTAACACTGTACAGGGAGCACTCACAGCTCCAAGAGTTTCCCTTCAAATTATGAAGAAGCTCCTGTAAATAACTAGATTTCCTACAGCCTGGTCCTCTGCCGGTGGGAAGGAGGGGAAATGAATGTGAAAAGCATTGTGGTCTGCCGTCTGGTCATTCATAGATCCAGTTCTGAGCACAGCTCTTGTAATCTACCAGTTCCTCAGGGTGAAACCACAAGCCGATCTCCTTCTCTGCACTCTCCACGGAATCGCTGCCGTGTATAATGTTCCTGGGTGGAGAAAGAGGCAGTCACATTACCAAGACCAGAAGGATTCAAATGAGCCCACTGCCAGAAATCTACAGCCACTGCAGCATAAAAGCTGAAACTCCATGGATATTAGACCGTGTTAAAAGAAAAAGCCTACAGCGGCCATTAATGTAACAGTGATAAATGCCCTCCCCACATCCAGCCCTCCCGGCCACACTGGTGCAAACAGTGAGAGCCTTCAGGAAAGACTCTGGCCAGCAAAGTGTGTTGTACCAGGTTCTACACTTTGTGTAACAGAGGTACAACCACAGTGATATTAACAACTAAAGCCAAACACTAACTAAACAGGGAAGAAAACAATAAACTCCAATAAAATCAACCTGCATATGGTATCATGTATACCTCCAGCCTCAGAAACCCAATCCTTGTGGAAACTAAACCAGACTTTGGAAAAGGCGGTAGAACACCAACATCTCACCTGCCGACTTGTATGCAGAGGTCTCCACGGATGGTCCCAGGCTTGGAGTCCGCAGGATTGGTCTCTCCGAGCATGACTCGGCCTGTCTTCACCACGTTCAGCCCCTCCCAGACCTCCAAGGACAGAAGAAGATATGGTCAAGGAAGAAAACCAATCTCAGCAGAAAATCTGGCAACTATTAATTCAAAAAAGGAAAAATACAAAGGCCCCTTAAGATGACATTCACTCACTGAACCAATGTTTAGAGTATCCACTTGTTCCAGCACTCAGGAACCTGGTCTCCCTGCCCTCAGGCTTGTCTTTCTACAATGCATTCCACATACAGCAACCAGAGCAGCCTCTTTAAAATCCCAAGTGTGAAGGGTCCCTCGCAGCACTCAGGAAGTACGTGTTCAACACACTCCCCTGAGAGAGGGGCCCCTGCCCATGCCTCTGAACTCCTCCCACCCCAACTTCCCTCCCACCCATCAGGCTTCAGGCATTTCAATTCTCTTTCTGTACTTCAAAATGCCAAGCTCATTCCCAGCCTGGGCCCTTTGCACATGCTGTTTTCTTGGCTGGAAATGTTTTTCACTATGATTCTGTACATGGCTGGCTGCTTCTTGTCATTAAGACTACAGCTTAAAAACTGCATTCTTTTTTTTTTTTTGAGACGGAGTTTCGCTCGTTACCCAGGCTGGA